AAGGGACTTAAGACGATAATTTCTCATGTTCTGTGTTGCATATACATACATAGCAGAATATAGCAATCAAGTTTGATACAAATCAATTTAAATACAATGAACAATAAACAGTTTTTCGGACATGCTTTTCCACCCTAAAACATAAAAAACCGAAAATAGGGGAGTGCGTGAATACTAAAAATATGCATTGAGATGATGCAAATGATGCCTTTAGCTAAGTTCCACTTGTACAACTATCGATTCCTACAATAATGGTATTCCCTAGTGAGTCTCTAATCGAAATCTAACACTAGTATACTTACTACTACAATAGAATTATGTCAATATGTTTCAAATTTTAATATTGATAAGTTACAAACATTTTTCTGTGAAAAGTAAATTCAATGAATCAAGTTGTTTATAACAATTTAATTGGAAAATTCACATTATTGAAATGCTAATATTTAACATTTTAAGAGGTGTTCCAATGATTTAATATTCAAAAACTAAATAAATTTAGTTCTAAAATTTCCCAAACTTAGCATTTCTGTTTTAATTGAAGTCAAAGACCTTAAGATAAATTTTCTTGAATTTTTGATTTGTCTAACTATTTTTCACGATTTTAGTTTTCTTGAATAACCATAAAATCATGAAAAATACTAAACAGTTAATAAAAATTACCAAACTTAAGATTTTGGTTCTAACTACACTAGAAGACTTCCAGATAAATTTTTATGGATTATAGATATGTATAACCATTTCTCTTATATTTTATTCTCTAAATAGATAAAAATTCATGAAAAATAGCAATCAGTTAAGAAAATACCCCAAACTTTTTATAATACTGTCATTACACCTTAGCTGGGAAAAATATAAAAATGGGTTTCTAAACTGTTTAACCCAAATTTTATGATTTTTATGCATTTATTCTAATAAAAATGGGGATAAATAGAAAACAGTTTCCAAAATTACCCAAACTTTTTCTAATACTATTATTAAACATTCTTAAGTTGGGAAAAATATAAAAATGGATTTATAAACTGTTTAACCCAATTTTATGATTTTTGTGCATTTATTCTAATGAAAATGGATTTAAGTGTATTTAATCTTGCGGAAATAGATGAAAAATAGCATACAGAAGAGAAAAATTATCAAAAAAATTTTGTAGCATCCTAATATATTATAAGGTGTTTTGCTAAATTTTCATGAATTTTGGATGAGTAAAACTATTTTTCCTTTTTTAGTCATTATAAACACAAAAAAATCATAAAAAATAGATATACATTTTGAATAATTCCCAAAATATTTTCCTGAGTCTTCCACATAGGGTAGAAGCTGCGAAAATTATTAGATACCCTTTTTATATTCCCTAATGTGGTTTTACGATTTATTAGAGCTAAACAAAAAGAAATTCAAACCATATTAAACAGTAACAAAAAGTCATTCAAACTTCATGTGAGATGTTTATTAACTTAAAGATCAAGCCAAGAATGTTTCCAGAATTTATTTAATAGTGTAAGTATTTTTATGATTTAACACTCTATTTTCTTATTATTTTCATGTAAAAATAAATAAAATATATATTGAGCTGAAATTTTCCAGAATGCATCTTCATACAAATTAATAGCAATGAAAAATTGTTTTCTTATTTTTTATGTCGAAAAACATGCCTAAAGGCTCAATAAATTATAGAGAAAACTTGGTTCTTGTGATTTGGGTAAAGAATATTGATGTTACTTTGAGAATTGTTGCAACATGTTTCCAATGACTTTTGAATCAAAGATTTTTGTACCTCTAATACATGATGTTAAGAGTTTCAAAATAAGTTTTGAATGATTTTTAGTGATGAATAAGTCCTTTGAACAAGCAACACAAAACAAATGTTCATAAGGAAAGTGCTGTTTGAGCAACAGTTTTGTAAAAATTGTTAAAAATCGAAATATTGGAATTTTACAGTGAGTTTAGATGGGGTTGAAAGATAACTCAAAATGTTATATTTCAGAAAAAGAATCACGAAGTTTGGTTAAGGAATGAGTGAGATATGACAGTTTAAAGACAGGTAAAGAAATCTGGCAGATTGCATGCATGATGGTTGGTTAGAAAAATGAGTTTTCATCATTCCTTAGTAATCTTTTGAAATATTTTAAATATATCATGATAACTCATATTTTAGTCATGTTTCCAGAGATCAAAAGATTAAAACTTATCAAAATGTATACATGCATTATGAACAAAATTTTGTTTTCTCAAAAACTCTTAACTTGAGTTGAGATTTTAATCCTTAAAATCGATTTTTGCACTAAGATCATGAACATGCAACCTTGTTTATCATACATGCATGGTGTTAAAACACATCCATGAAGTTCTAAAAACCATTTTAACAAAAAGAAAACAAGTTTGAAGAAGATGAAGAAGGAGAAAGTGTAAGAAAAATAGCAAAACTTGAAGGAAAAGTAAAGTAGAAATCGATTTTACCTTCAAGAACACCACAAATATGATGTTCTATAAAATTTGAGTATCTTGAGTGTTCTTGGAGGTATTTTCTAGAGAGAGAAAGAGAAATGTTGTGTGTTTGAGAGTGTGAGAGGGGAGAGAGGGATCCGAAATTTTGAGTATAATACCCCTTTCTCATTCATTTTGTTTTATAAAATTTAAGTTCTTTTATAAAATATCTCAATTTTTATTTAAAATGTGCACTAAAATCAAGTTTTTATTCATAAAACCTTGATTTTTGATTTATAAATTAAGGGTAAATGTTAATGAGTTAAATTTTATTTTCCTTGAATGCATTTTTATAATTTTAATTATTATAAGATCATATTATGAGGTTCATAACTATGTTTATAGAATTTTTAAGGTTAAATTTCATAAATTTAGGTTTTTAGGGCATTTAGGGTTTTTGGGAGTTTGTAAATCTTTGGATATCAAAACCAATAGAATCTTTGAGACTTAAATTTATCTTATGGTATTATAACTCTTTTATAGTTATATTAATGTTTGTAACTTATTTTATCGGCTTATTGGCATTCTATGTAGTGGTTTCGAGATTCAAGAGAAATTGAGGAAATCAAGTATACTAGTCTTAGTTTTCAACTTTGACTCAAGTTTCTATGAGATTATGACCTAATTTCTACTACTAGGTCAAGTGCAAGATGGGTGTATATGATTCATGAAATGGTGTTCAAGTAAAGGAATGACCCGAATGTGGATAGTCACTAAAGTTAAGTAGTTGTAGAATTCACATAACCATGTGAAATCTAAGTACACTATCATTAGATTCTACTTGTTTCCAAGTTTCTAGTAGGTTATAACTTAGCTTCTAGTTACTAAATCTAGTATGTGTCCTGCCTATACGTGCAACTAAGTTTAGTCAAATCTAGAACCGACTCGAATTTTGACGGTTGTCACATACATGATCGAATTACGGTCCCCAATCCCAAAAAAGGATGCATCCCGAAACTAGATGCTACACATATGACAAGATGTGACTGTAAGACTATGATGTGGCCCATAGCATTCATACGGGGTTGGAGCAGGCCCATTATTTCCTTTATGATTGTTCTGTATGTTTATGTAGACAGGAGATTTCGTTGGTCGGAGCTAGAGCCCAACACTTTGTGTGGATGCATTGTATGTATGATGGAATATATGACATACCGGGAAACTCACTGATTTGTATACTTACAGTTGTGGATTAAACATTTTGCAATTCGTCCTTGAGAAAAGCTCGACGGGACTATACACACGCATTAGAGATGTTCTTTTCTATGGTTTTGAAAACTTTACTCTGATAATATATAGTTTCAATCAAACAAATGTTACTCAATCATTTTTTGAAGCAAATGTTTACTTGATTATTTTACTTTAAAAATCAAAGATCTCTTCGTAATTTTTGGAACGTCACATATTTATACACTTTATCCTAGTACACTTCGGTCCGTAAATATAGTCTTTTTCAAATTTTAAGACTATTTAATGATTTATATATCAAATGGCTTCTAACCAATGGTATCAACTATTGCGTTCCCTCCTTAAGGTTGAGGGTTCAAGTACAAGTACAGTTGTAGACATAAATAGAATGAAAAAATAATTTAAAAATAGATTACATTTCTATTAAAAAAATTAATAATTTGTATTTTCTATTCTCCTACCATTTTCTCTCTTCTACTGTATTTGTGTTTATTTATACACATTACATGCCCTTATACAATTACATTTATAATTGTTTTTCAAATTTCAAGAATTTTTAATGATTTATATTTTCTCCTCCTCTCCTTCATTTTCTCTCTCCTATGTTTTTCTCTATCCTCCATTTTTTATTTCTTTTATTCTAACTTGTAATTATATATTTCAAAATAATATAACATATACTATATTTTATTTCAATTAATAGATCATAAATTTTTATTATGAAAGCAAGAAGTCTTGACAATATAATCAATATCTATATATCAATATGATACAATGTATAAATTGTCTTTATTATTTTTGTTTTTTATATGGATATAATAAATAAAACTTGTTCCATTACATGAAAAAAAAAAATACATGATAATATGTAATGAGAAATTAAATATCCTCCTAGCTACTTATTCTTCAATTCTTATCTATCTTCATATCCCTTTTAAATGATGATAAGTTTTTTTTAACGGCAGACAAATATTACTAAACAAAACAAAACAAAACTTAATCGAGAAACTCAAGCCTAAGAAGAGAAAAAGCAAGAGGATTGATAAACCAAATATGTCAATCGATTTTTTTTAATTTAGATCAATTCTTAATCCAATTATAGCGTGCTAATATCATCTATTAGGAACATAGCTGCCCGCACATTTTAGGAAAACTTGTTATATATAGATAACTAAAAGTGATGATTGAGGTGCTTAATGATAGTGAACAAAAGGTGAACAGCATCGGAAATGTCTATAATTATGAATATATATGTAAATATGTATCTGCTCCACACATTTTACAATGAAAACTTATTATACATAGATTTTAGAACTAGCAAGACACTAGCATAAAACAAAGATACAAATAGAATTACAGAGTACAAATAGAATTACAGAGTACAAGCATAGTTTCGTTTATTATACAAAGATAACACTCCAATTAATATGAAGCCAACAAATTAGAGACACAGTTGTGCATTTATTGAAAATATAACAATAAGCAAACTTGAAACAACAAACATATTTTGAGCACACGAATAGTTTATTTTTTTGACAATGAAATGACAAGACTAAAGTGTCCTGTATTCTTTTTAGCTAGATGTAACGCCACATGCTTTGCATACCTTTTAAATAGGACGTCCATAATGGAATTTCCAAAATGAGACGTCAAAAATGGTTCCACAGCAGCTCTAATGGCTTTTGCTGTCTTTTTCCCATAGATATGGCTTGGCTCATTAAAATCTTTCGCATTTGCATCATCATCATCATCATCATCATCCGTCTTGATTGGATACCAGTTGACTTGAAAAACATTCAAGGTATCAAGAGAGAACGACCCTTCATTTCTAATAATATTCATAACTTCATCCTCGTATGGAGTATAGTATGGCATATTGAAGGAGTTCAAATCTGATTCTTGGATCAATCCCTATGGAATTTGGTTAAGCAAATACCAATAGTTAGTAGCTGAAACGAATCTGTATACGTATGGAGCACAAGAGAACCTTATACCTCTTTTAGCAAATCAAGAAGTGATAGCCCTAGTAGATGCCAAAGATAGATACAATCATCGCAGGTTGGATCAGCCATACTCCGACCAATAAAAGTTAATACCATGCATCCACCTTGTACTATTTCTTGAGAGCGTACCTTTAAAAAGTTTCCAAAGTCGTTCTGAAATTGCTTTTCATAAGCTTCAAACACATTTGGCGGACTTGATTTGGCGATGTATATATTCGTTGTGTTGTTTTCAATACCGTCAGGTGCCTATATCACATATATCATATCAACAAATGAACCATAATTTATATATCTTCAAGAGTACACGATAACATAACTTGGTGTGGCATGCACGTACCCGGAAACTTTGAGTTTTTGAGACTCAAAACTAAACCAAGGGATCTAACAATCATGGCATGCACCCTAGAAACTATGAGTTTTTGAGACTTCAAACTAAACAAAGGGATCTTATAACCAGATAAACTTTTATCTGGATGTATCTTTGATTTAGTGTTTTATTGAAATATGGAAATATGAAATTATGGGTTTTGTATTGTTTGATTTTTGTCAATATTTTTGCCAAAAAGAACTTATTTTGTAGCCATCGACTAGAAAGAATCCAGCAGCAAAACAATTCCAAATTTTCCAAAAACAGCTAACACCAGTTGAATTAGTTGTTAAATATATATAGTCCTTTGCCTTCAAATGATTGGAAAAGTTTATTTGCAAAGGGTGAGAGAGTAATATATAACTTTTTACATAAAGTACAGATGAATAAATGTACAATAAGTTAGATATTACGCGAACCTGAGAAAGCCAATGAAGACAGTATGACGAGTGAACAAGGTGCATGCTTTGGTCTGGAAAGAGTCTACCATAAAATGAACCAGGGGTAGCTGAAACAAAACAATGGCCAGAATGTTCTCCCTGATCCTTCTTAAGTTTTGAATAAAAGTTGGGTATCATTTTGATAATGGTATTGAAATCATTTCCGAAAAGGTCATTTAAGTAAAATTCAAACTGTGGTGCTTTTTGATTATTTTCTTCACACAGCTTGTTGACTATATCGATAATGTTGGATGCAACCAATAGTGAATTTACACTAGAGGAGCATCCCAAATCTGCTATCTTGACACACTGACTGAAGATGATGTCAAGATCAGCCATACTCTTGATTGCAAGATTTAAAACTGAAAGAGCTTTCCTCGTCATAGATTCCTGGAAAGAAAATAAGAATACAACACCTCATACTCATGCATGTTTAACTAGTTAGGACAATTTTTTAATTAGTTGCTTTATGTACATTGCATCGGCCTCAATATAAACCCATATTTGTATGTATAGAATCTAAAACAACCATGTTTCAATATGTATATACGTAATCAAGAAGAGTAAGAGGGACCTGAAGAAGCGAGTTACGGGCATAGCTTAATTCTCCATTGCCAGTATTCATATGTAAGATATTTTTTCCTTCCATGGTTCTCTTTCTTTTGTATTTGTTTTGCAGCTGTCTTGCCTTCGTGCTATTGATTTATATAGGCCTACTAATCCACCACTAGTGATTAAGACATATAAACCATTTCACATTTTTTTTTCCATATTTGGAAAGGAGAAATCTATTTGGACAATAAGGCTAAGGGGAGCGGTAACACTCCTAACACTTTGTCACGTCAGATTTTGGAACGCCACCTCATTTTTGACCATTTAGCAGCTAACATTAGCATTTGGTAAGGAATGGTAACACTCCTAGCACTTCATTTTTTTTTATTTTTTTTTTCTAATTTAATTTAATTACTTTATTTTAATATAGAAATTTTTTTGTGCATAAATATTAAACAAATTTTATTTTTTTAAACTACAAACAATTAATATAATATCAATTATATTTTTTTTAAAACACAAACATTTCATATTAAATTATAAAAGTTACATAAAATTAAAACTTAAAATACTTAACACCGACAAACACGACAAACACGATTTAATAATTCAAACCAATGAACAATTAACAGACCCTACCCACATCTTAATTATAAAAAAACATCAAATGTTTACAATTAACAATTGACCAACTCCAAAAAAAATGTTTATAATAATGTTACAATAAATTATTCAAAGAGATATGAACATGCGGTTCAAGTAAAAAAGTAGTACTTTCAACTAAACCAAAATTAAAATGATGGTCAAAAGAAAAGGTTACAAATTTAAACGCTCCAAGGGATTTGGGAAACTGAGTCTCTAATGAGAAATAGATGAAAGTCCTTTTGAATGAGTGAAAAAGCTAGTGACATTTGAACCCACACCACATTGCCATATCCACTTCCATAAAGCCTTCTTGATGTAAGCAACAAAGGATGTGTTGCAGTCAACAACATCTTAGAGATCAAAGAGCTTGAGATGTAGTATCCATGGCATGATCCTGCATCTTCAATGGAATATTTGTATAAATATAAGATGATATTTAATGAAACAAATGACTTACCAAGTGATATTATGCACTCCATGCAATCAACATGTTGATCATACCATGAAGCCAACAGAAACATACCCTTGCTTGTAAATGTTGTCAAAAATAGAATCCACAACCAAGATGCCCTAAAATCAAAACCATAAAATCAAATTTTCACAATTGGCTTTCATACTCTCATTATGTTATTCAAATAACCTGCATTAATAACCAACAACCAAGATGCCCTAAAATCAAAACCATAACATGAAAAATTTGTAAAAAATTGAAAGAATCGAAACTTTCTATTAATCACAGCACCATAACATCAATTTCTTTTTTTTTCAAAAACAAATTAACCACATCAATTTATTCTTCTTCTTACTTCTCTAAATGGAAAAAATAACAGTAATAAAAAGGAAGTGTTTTTGCCCAATTTGAAGGTGGCTCTTTGTCTAAACTTCTGTGGCATCCACCTACGTTCTTAAGTGATTCTTCTAGCAGGATCCTTTGAAAAAAGTTCTTGTGATTTTGATTTTAATCTAATTGGCATAAAAATCGAGAAAATTATAAATTTTTAAACACCTGAATAACAGAAGACCAGAAGAAGATGAAACCTTGTTCGAATCAGCATCACATCCGCCATTAAACCCCCAATTTCTATAATCGTCGGAATCAACATCAGAAAACCCTCACTTATCAACTGGAAAAAAGTTCTTAGTAGATACAATTTTGCTGTCGTCTTCCTCGATATCTTTTGTGAAACCAGGCAAGTCAAGCCGGAGCTCGGCTTTGAGGAGGTTAAAAGCATTGTTCTTTTCGGTTTCCGTTGAGAAATTGAAGGATTCAGAGCTTTTTTTCCATGGAAGAAGAGTCAGATAAGCCTATGTAATCATGTAACGAGGCTCACCTCACAAACACCAATCAAATTCAACCCTCACCCTCTCTCTCTTCTCGCCAACAGTGTAAGGAGGCTCCGGTGGCGACCCTCCTAGCGAGAGCTAGGGGGCGGTGTTCCTTGATCGTTGGCCAGCGTAGCGTACCCGGTGGCGACCCCACTCCTCTTAGTCTAAGAATTCTTTTTACACAAATAATTATTAGCTAATTATGACATGATGTCATGATGTGCCGTTACTTTTCAATTTTTTTAATTTGTTTTTAAAAATTTATTCTATTATTTATTTATTTTAACTTTTAAAATTCTTTTTGTTTCATATAGACGTGATATTTTGTTATAATTAATTTGTAGGCTTTTTTAAATGCGACCTTTTGTTTGAAGAAGTCATTAAACTAATTCTGTTCCCAATCCTATATTGAAATGGATAAATAGCTAGGATTATCCTTTTTTAATTAAAAAGGTTTCAAATTTAAGATAAACTATCGCTGAAAAGCTTCTATTACGTTTTTCTATCATAATTAGCAATGTCACTTAAAATATTTTTATACAATATAAAACTTAATAAGAACTTGAATCAAGCGAACACAGATACCATTGTTTATGTGGGTTCATTTAAATAACAGCCAATTTCTTAATCACGTCCATTAATGAACATAAACGAATATTTTGGCATATAATTCACGAACGGTTTTTAAACGTTTGGTTTGATTGTCCTTTGATTAAATTTTAAAAAAATGGCGTTACCATTAAATATAATAAACGGAATAAAAACAATATTTTAACAACAAATCACTTAAACGAGGTTTATAAAGCGTAATAATTATACTGCGTGTATTTTCTTTAATGATATCATACTTTTTTTTAACTAGATTAAACTAGAATGAAGTAAAAATCAATTTATTGAAAGAGAAAAACAATAACAGAAAAATAATAAGTTAAAATTAGTGTGTTATTTTATATTTAATTTTTTTTTAAACGACAAATAATTATATATTTTTCTCTTTTCTTTGAGATTGAACCAAAGACCTCCTAGTTAGTTGTTATTTTAAACGTCCATGTTAGCCAAGTAAATGTGATAACAAGTTAGAAATTAGTTTTCATATGTATGTTAGAGAATGTAATTAAAGATAAATTCGATATTAATAGTGATATATCGACACTATGTATTTACTAATAATGAAATTTCCAAAAATAGATAAATTTTGTTATAATCTTAGAAAATGAAGTTAATATATTAAAACTAAAAAGTAAACTTAGAAAAAAACAAGATATAAATGAAGTTTCATATATATATATATATATATATATATATATATAGATATATATATATATCTATATATATATATATAATATATATAGATATATATATCTATATATTATAGAGGGGAGCGTTCAATCGAGAATATTTCTGTAACATCCCAAAATTCAATGCCAAAAATTTCATTTTTAAATAAGTTATTATAAAACCAACAGTATAAGAAAGCATCCATAATATCATGTCATGTCAAAACCAAAGTAGAAATAATCAAAACATGTTATCATAAAACATTATCAGAGTGTAATCCCAAAGATCTCATGTGCGGAAAACCATAGTGTGATGCGTTGCGATCAAGCCGGCTCCTTTCCTTTGAAAACGAGTACCTGAAACCAAAACTGTAAACCGTAAGCACGAAGCTTAGTGAGTTCCCCCATTATACCACACACCATACAATAACATACTGTCAGGCAATTCTGGGGTGCCTGACTTACCCAGGTCAAGCCATTCTGGGGTGCTTGACTTACCCGTCGGTCTATTTCACCCGACTACCGGGGACTATTTCACCCCTACCACTACCACGCAATAATATAACACACATATACTGTCAGGCAATTCTGGGACGCCTGACCTACCCATGTCAAGCCATTCTGGGATGCTTGACTTACCCGTCGGTCTATTTCACCCGACATACGAGGACTATTTCACCTCCTACTACTACCACATAATATCATAGCATAAACATACTGTCAGGCAATTCTGGGGTGCCCGTCCTACCCTTCGGTCCTAACAACCGAATTTGGGGACTATTTCCCTTCTACTACCACAATCACATATATAACATACCATGCTAGCACAGAAACATATCAGGTAATAGCAAACCTAGATGAATATCACAAAGACAATCATCTAACATACAACTCCTACTAGTGGGCCGACATTGTGGCTGTAGACCCACCGCTACTGGAAGGTAACTCACCTCACACTGCTGAAGTCTCGTAGACCCAACCCCACACTGTTGAAGTCCCGCAGACTCAACCTCAGCTGCTGGATGACAGATTCCCGAACTGTCAACACCAAAATAACACCCAATTAATAATTGGGTTCCAATACATAACCATAAGTCCATGCTTGGGGGTAAAAGACTACTCTACCCCTAACTTGGCTTGATTCAAGCCCGAGGCCCAATCCAAAGGCCCAAAAGTCAACTATGAGTCAAAGCCCAACATATGACCCAATTTTCCAAATTAGGCACAAACCTTTACAAGGTCTTACCATAAGGCCCAACCATTTAGTCCAGTCCAACATTCAACATTCTAATGGCCCAACATCACATAATCATAAAGGCCCAAACTATGGCCCATCTATGGCCCAATTTTCCAGATTGCGCCCAACTCCTCATATCGGCCTTACCTCAAAGCCCATTAATTATTCTAGTCCATTTGCTTGATCTTGGATGGCCCATTAATAACCCAATCATCAAGGCCCAATAGAAAGGCCCAACAATAAACCCAAGTGAAATTAGGGTATTCACATGAAATGATGATTAGGGTTAAGTGTTCCTCACTTAACCCATTAAGGACTTAATCCATTAAGTCCAATATTGACTTGGGTTGATTGCATATGATTATTAATTAATTTATTAAGTTTAGTGAATAATTCAAGCGCGGTCCCGATCAAATTCCCCAAAATTAGGGTTTCACATAAAATGACAATTACGGTTAAATGTTTCCCACTTAACCTATTAAGGACTTAATCCATTAAGTCCATCACTCTACTAGATAAGATATATATGGTATGATTGGGTTTAATACACAATTCCATTCTAATGTCCCAAATATGGGTCCCGATAAGTCCAAGCCCATAAATCCAATATTAGGGTTTTCTAAACCCGAATTAGGGTTTCCAATCCCATCTTAGCCCAATAGGCCCAAAACCAAGTCCTTAAGCCCATTAGGGTTTCACTGGGTCAGTTAGGGTTTTTCTAGGCCCATTAGGGTTTCATTGGGCCCATTAGGGTTTCAAGCATCCCAAACGAATCAAACTCAACAAGGCAAGCACACCGCCACCCAACACGGTGGCCGGCGGCGGCAGGAGGTGGCAGCCACCACCATACGGTGGTGGTTAGGGTTTCTTTTTCATTATTTCGTCACGATTACAATTTTTACAATGAAATCCCAAAAATAAACACACACACTACACTAAAATAAACACACACACACAACCACCCTAGTGGTGGCCTGCGGTGGTATGTGGCGGCAGCCACCACCTTACGGTGGTGGTGGTGGGGGTCTTTCTTCGGATCTCCTGCCAAGAAATGCTCCTGCAGCCTCATAACATCCCAATATACGAACACAAACACCATCACACGCCCACAACCACCTTTCACGGTGGCTAGTGGCGGTAGAAAAGCATTCCGGTGACAACCACCATGGTTGGCTGCCATGGTGGTCTTCTTGTGTCTTCCAGCCAACCTTTCATCCACACACGGCTTGCAATCGGGAATCTGGATGCAACCACCCACTGGTGGTGCGCGGTGAAGGCAACATCAACCCTAGCTGCCATAACGGTGGCTAAAGGTGGTCTTTTTCCTGCTTGACATCGATGGCAACAGCGGCTGGAGACTCACGAACGGCGGCAGCGATGAAACAGTAGAAGAGAAGCGGCGGAACAGTAGCGCTACAATGGAGTGGCGGCGTCCATCGGAAACAGCAACAGCGACACCCCCGGGCGTGTTCCCTCCGACCGTCAACTGCCATAGCGCTCCATGGCGGCCTTCGTCTTCAGCATCGGTGGTTCACGTCTTCAGCGGAGTGGAACGACGCCGGTCATCTTGGTTCTTCAGTGGGTTGGTCGGTCAGAGAAGCAAGGGAGAATGGGTGGCGGCCGGCGGTTGGGAGGCATAAGGGGGAGGGGTGACGGCTGCTACATAAGGGAGGGTTTAGGGTTAGGGTTTGATCGATAATGAGGTTATATACCCGGCTCCACTTAGAAGTTTGCCATAATGGCAACAACAGTCCCTCCATGCCCCTATTCTTTCAAATATAATCAAATATTTACCCTTTCAACCCAATCCATGGAAATCCCATACAAATTAAGTCCCATAAATTACCAAATAGCCCCCATCTTCTAAAAATTGTGACAATTAGCCCTTCGAGACCATCCTTTGATAAATAATTGTTTATTTTAAGGCTACTATTCGTTCATTAATTCGTTTATTTATTTATTAAATAAACGGGGTGTTACAATTTCTTATTCCGAGAACATTTGAGAACAAATTTGGACCACATAATTTTTTTAATTAAAACTATAAAATAATATTCATAAAAATCAATCAATTGTTACAAACAATTAAAAACTCACTAACCAAAACCACTCCCCACCCAACCAACACCACCCATCACCACTACCTACCACCCACCACCGCCTCCACCACCACCCGCCACCACCACCAACCACCAGTGTTTCGGTCGATTAGGCGCGGTCCGACGATCGGTGGTCTGGTGTCTCCGGCGGTGGTCCGGTGGTCCGACTTCAATTGTGAAAGGAAAAAGAGACATCCGATCAGTTTGGTAGGGTGGGGTAGGGTAGGCGGGGTTGGGGTTTTTTTTATTTCTATGTAATGAAAATAATAATTTTTTTAAAAAACTTATAAATT